TTTCTCTTCTTTTTTTTTGTTTCTTAATATTAATGTGTTTTGTGTGTTTTTGCTCTCTCTGTGTTTATCCTATAAATATTATTATTGCTACTCCATTGTGTGTGTGTGTGTGTGTGTTCTTGGAGACTCTCTATGTGTGTCCACCTGGGCTTGCACTGTGATGATAATGATGAACTGCTTTTTACAATAAAAGGGAAAAGGAAAAAGAAATAATAATAACAGATGAATTTATATTTATAATTCTGTATATATATACTTATAGACTTACATCCATAGGTGGTGTATATTTATGTGTTTACTGGGTAAATTGGCTAATGGTTAATATCTGTTTCTTTACTTGATGATTTTGCTTGCTGTGTTCTGTGGTGGGCTTTTGTGTGTGCTTTGCTATTCATCAATGGCATTTTCTCTTTGGAACGATAATAGCTAATAGTATTAAATACAAAAATATACTCAGAAATGCTTAAACAGGGCCATGGATTATACTTGTTGGTTATTCTGTTTTTTCTTTGGCTGTAGGTCGTGGTTTTAATTTGTGTTCTTTACTTTTTCTTGTCTTTGAGTTTGTTTGTGGTGTACACTTCTTGAATTCTTTATTGTTTATACTGTTGTTTCTTCTTTTGCATCATCTGTTGGTATCTATTGTATTGGTTCTTTTTCAGTTTTTTTCTTTCTTTAGCCAAGTGACGTAAAAGAAAGAAACTTAACTGTTGCTGTGATGTTCTTGTATATTGTATTGTGTTTTATTTCTTTGCTTCTGAGCACTGCCTCTGTATCTATGCCGGTAAACGCGACTCCTAATCCTGAAAAGGTAACTACTCCTTGCAGAGAAGGTTCTCCTACTGATGGTTCTCCTTGTCCTTCTGCTGACCCAGTACCACTACCTTCTGTTAAACCTGACTCTGATGATACCTCTTGCAAGGATGGTACTGGTGTTACTACTAAAGGTCCCTGTCCTCCTAATACGAAAATTGCTCCGGGTGCTGGTGGTGCTGGTAGTGGAACACTTCATACACCCCAAGGGCCTGCGCCTGGGGGTTATGGTGGGGAGAGTGAGAAACAGCATCAGGTTACTTCTCCAGACCCAAATGATACTTTGTCTCGGGGAGACTCAGCGGTGAGTCAACCAGTTGTGCAAGGACAAGAAAGTAAAGATGGACGGCAGGCAAACGGGCAGAATGGTGACCAGGGGTTGAGAACTGAAGAATCAACACCAGGTCAAGTGATCAGTGGAGGTGCTGATAAGAATAGCGGAAATCAACAGCCCGAAGGGAATGGTTCACAGTCTTCAGAATCCTCAGGTGTATCTAATACAGATACAAGAGATTCTCAGAGCAACCAAAGCGATACAACAGAACAACCTCAATCTTCGGACAACAACCAAACTTCTCAAGGTCAGAATGGTGAAGCTGAGAATACTAATGATGCTGCGAAACCTGCAGTGAGTGAATCAACAAGGACCCAAAATGAAGAAGGAGCAGGAGGTACAGACACTACCACCACCACCACAACAACAACAACCACAACACTTCCTCCTGAACTCACAAACAACAAGAAGGGTGATGCAGACAGCAGCAGCAGTATCAGCAGTTCTGTGTGGGTGCGTGTACCACTATTGATTGTGGTTACACTGGCCTGTATTCTTGTGTGCTGATTGACTGTTGGTGTAGTGTGACTCAGGTCATCCTTTGTTTTCTTTTTTTGCATGCAATCCCTACAGTCTAACTAATCTTTTACCTGTTGGGATTATCCTTTTTTGTTTTGTTTCTTATTGTTATTGTGTTTTTTGTGTTTTTGCTCTCTGTGTTTATCCTATAATAATTATTATTGCTACTTCATTGTGTGTGTGTGTGTTCTTGGAGACTCTTTTTTTCTCTCTTTGGGCTTGCACTGTGATAGTGATGATGAACTGCTTTTTGCAGTGGGAAAAAGGAAATAATAATAATAGATGAATTTATATTTATAATTGCGTATATACACATATATAGACTTATACCCATAGTTGGTGTATTTCTGTGTTTACTGCGTAAATTGGGCTAATGGTTAATATCTGTGTGTTTATTTGCTTGCTGGGTGGTTCAGTTTTTTTCCAGATATATCTGAATGTGGCCTTTTTTTGTTTTTACTCTTACTGAGGTTATTGTGCGCTGTATTGTATTCTTTAACTGGTAGGTTTTGCTTTTCACGATGTGAGTTTCCATAGTGGTAATCGATTTGTGTGTCCTCACATGTTTGATACTTCATTTATTACCTTTTTTTGCTTTTTGATTGTCTTTCGTTCTAGATCAGTGCTTTTACGCAAACCAAACTATTGTCTCTCTCATGATGATGATGATGGGCCGTGTGATGTGTGTGTTGGCCGTTGTGCTGTGCTGTGCCTGCGGGTATACCATGACAGCTGCTGCTACTACTGCTAATACTAATGGACACCCAAAGGCGGCGATGGCGTTTTTGGGAAGTTTTTATCCCGAGATCAATTATAGTGGATCGGCGAAAGAGAAGAAAAGTGAAGAAGCAGAAGCATTAGCAGAGACTGCTGTGGCAGAAGAGGCGCGATCACATGTGGAGGTACAGGACCCTACTTTACTCAATAGTGAAAAGTCTCCTTGTGTTGGTGAAGCTCTTGATTCTTCCAGTACCACATGTCCTTCTGTTCGTACTGCTGCTTCTCCTCCACTTGTTCAACCAATAGCAGAATCTCTTGTTAAAGGAGAACCACCTGCTGGAGGTGTTCCTGATCCTCAAAGTGTTCCCAGTGAAGATGGTAAACATCTTGGTGGTAAAGTTCCTGGTGTTGTTGTTGCTCCGGCTTTGGCCGGTCCTTCTGGTTCTCATGGTCCTTCTCCCGTTTCTCTTCCAGAACCTCAAGGTGTTAGAGGAAATAACGGTCAAGGTGGTCATGTCCAACCATCTACTGTAGATCAGGATGCTCTTCGAAGAGATGGTCAAATACTGAAAGATTCTTCTGGGGATCTTTCACATAAAGAGAATGAAACAAGTAAAGACGAAGAGATACATCAACTGTATCAAGAGAGAAAAGAAGAGCTTAATAAACCCGCAGAAAATCAACCTGGTCGTGGAAACTCCGTTCAAACTCCAAGAGAAGAAGATAGTAAACAATCTACTCCTCCTGCACAAGCTCCTGATGGACCAGTTACTTCTACATCTCCTACGGCTGAGGAGCGTGTTGATGTGCCTACAGCTGAAGGTGAACGTGGTGCACCACAACCATCTTCTCCCAGCAACACAGCCACAGGGAGTTCCGCTGGTTCTGATGCTACAGCGACTGAGAATAATACTTCATCTGCAGAGAGTGAATCGAAAAACAACCAAAATGAAGAAGGTGTTACAGGAAATAAAGATACCACCACCACCACAACAACAACAACAACAACAACAACAACAACACTTCCTCCTGAACTCACAAACAACAAGAAGGGTGATGCAGACAGCAGCAGCAGTATCAGCAGTTCTGTGTGGGTGCGTGTGCCACTACTGATTGTGGTTACACTGGCCTGTATTCTTGTGTGCTGATTGTAATGGTGGTGGTGTGACTCAGGTCATCCTTTGTTTTCTTTTTTTTTTTTTTTGCATACATCCACACTATAGTCTAACTAATCTTTCACCTGTTGGGATTTTCTCTTCTTTTTTGTTTCTTTTAATGTTAATGTGTTTTGTTTGTGTTTTTGCTCTCTTTGTGTTTATCCTATAATAATTATTATTGCTGCTACTCCATTGTGTGTGTGTGTGTTCTTGGAGACTCTCTCTGTGTGTGTGCACCTGTGCTTGCACTGCGATGATGAGATGTTTTTTTGCAGTGATAGGGAAATAATAAGAGATGAATTTATATTTATAATTGCGTTTATACACACATACAGACTTACACCCATAGTTGGTGTATATTTCTGTGTTTACTGGGTAAATTGGGCTAACGTTTAATATCTGTTTCTTTGCTTGATGATTTTGCTGGGTGGTTTAGCCTTTTTTGAGATATTTGTGAGTGTGTGCTTTTTTTTTGTTTTTACTTTAACTGAGGTTATTGCGCTGTATTGCATTCTTTAAATGGTAGGTTTTACTTTCACGATGTGAGTTTCCATAGTGGTAATCGATTTGTGTGTCCTAACATGTTTGATACTTCAGTTATTTTCTCTTTTTGTTTTATGTTTGTCTTTCTTCCTAGATCAGTGTTTTTACGTGAAACAAATTTTTGTCTCTCTCATGATGATGATGATGATGCGCCGTGTGATGTGTGTGTTGGCCGTTGTGCTGTGCTGCGCCTGCGGGTATACCATGGCGGCTGCTGCTNTGGGGAAACTCCAAATGGTAATGCTTCTCAAGCTGCGGAGGAAAGCGGTGTTCCTGCAGGTGACCCTCAACCTCAACAAAGCGGCAACAGTACAAAAGAAGGAAATGCAACTAACCAGGGAGGTGAAGCAGCACAAACTTCACCGTCTCCCAATACTTCAGCCACTGAGAATGATGCTGCAAACGCTGGGAATGACAATACAACAACGGGGAGTGAGACAACAAGTACCCAAGAAGGTGCTGCAGATAATACAGATACAACCACAACAAACTCCACAACAACAACAACACTTCCTCCTGAACTCACAAACAGCAGAAAGGGTGATGCAGACAGCAGCAGCAGTATCAGCAGTTCTGTGTGGGTACGTGTGCCACTACTGATTGTGGTTACATTGGCCTGTATTCTTGTGTGCTGATTATGTTGGTGGTGAAGTGGTGGTGTGACTCAGGTCATCCTTTGTTTTCTTTTCTTTTCTCTTGCATGCAATCCCTACAGTTTAACTAATCTTCCACATGTTGGGAGTTTCTTTTCTTTTTTTGTTTTCTTAATGTTAGTGTGTTTTGGGTGTTTGTGGTCTCTGTGTTTGTTTATC